CCCCAAAACCCCAAAACCCCAAAACCCCAAAACCCCAGAGAGTCAATTTAGTGTTGAAAGTTGAGTCCTAAATTGTTTATACAACACTAAGGAGGAATTTTAGTTGTTAAATTAGGTATCCCGACCCTGTTAATAGCATTTTTGGCTTAAAACATAGCATTAGCTAAAGAATCTCTTAAATATATCTTCATTATTTTCTTCATTAAATTTGTGCTCTCTTCCTTTGGAGTCTGTGAAGGTGCCTCTTGAAGGCTCGTCTCAGTTCCATTCGCCTTCTCACATTTGGCCATCTGGCTTGATAGCAGTACCTTTCCCATGCTTCATGCCACTCCAATAACCTCCAAAATATTGGTCTCCTGAATGTAAAATTTCGTATCCATACCCATGAAGGCTATCATTACTCATCTCTCCTTCTCTATAATCACCGTTTGATGATATGAACTTACAGTACCCATGCATTCTGTTATTTGAGAAGAAGCCTTTCTGTTTATTGCCATTTGAAAAAGTGAGTTCAGTAAATCCATGGATGTTACCATTTGACCATTCTCCCTCACATCGGCTGCCATCCTTACGAATTAAGACTCCTTTCCCACTTAATTCACCATTACTGACATCTCCTTGGTAAGTGCTTTCATCAGGAAAGACATATATCCCTTTTCCATGTGGAACACCACTTGAAAACGATCCTTGATAAACTTCATCACTAGGTGTTACTAGCATCCCTTGGCCTTCTCATTCATTCATTTCTTTATCCCATTGTCCAAGGTACTTTCCTCCATCTTCAAGTACCTTAATCAGCCTGTATTCCAAGTATTGAGAGCAAGGCACACGAATCTCTGGTTTGTGCATCCCTAAGTACTTTTCCAGGACCTCTTTTGTCATACTGTTCATCATCTCTTGGACACATCTCCTCCAGTGAGGTTCAAAATTTCCTTCGTGGTCGGACAAATCCTTAGTTTCTTCAGTGTAGGGTTCAAGGTTTTTGTGAATTTTTTGGGTTTGCTCCATTTTTTAAGGTGGATTTTTTTGTTTGTTTAGGCTTTTGGGTGAGAAAGGGGTTTTGGGGTTTTGGGGTTTTGGGG